GAAAATTCAACGATCAAAAAAATCCCTCGACCCTTACATGTAATTTGGCCCTAGATTCTTCAACTTCAATTCTTGATAACACATTGAGAAAATTTTGTGAAGTTGAGGTGCTCTCAGCAGCAGCGTTTTTGGCTATTCGAAGTTTGTTTTTTATCGCCGATCAGCACAGTTCAACTTTTCCCATTGGTTCAAAGGTACTTCGTGAGGATTTATACGTAGATGATGTTCTCACTGGCTCTGATAGTCTCGAAATCTTAGAACTCAAGAAATCTGAAATTATTAAAATTCTCAGTATTCATGGTCTTCAGCTCGCAAAGTGGAATAGCAATTGTCCAGACTTCGTAACCAACAACGACGAAGAAGTTGCCATTAAAACCACTGAAGAAAATATTACAAAAACACTTGGAATGTCCTGGAATCCTACTCAGGATATATTTTTGTTTCGCTTTAACTTACCCGATGTAAGTAATCACACAAAACGTTCAATTTTATCGATAGTAGCAAAAATTTTCGATTTGCTTGGTCTCTTGAGCCCTATTGTAGTTCGTTGTAAAATGCTGCTCCAAGAGATGTGGGTCCAGAACATTGGTTGGGATGATCCCCTCAACAATAGTTTGACATTGATGTGGCTCCAAATTAAAGCAGATTTGGAACATATTCATGAAATCACAATACCTCGATATGTTTTTACTTCGGAAAACATACTCGGCGAAATACATGGCTTCGCCGACGCTTCGCTACGCGCATTTGGATGCTGTATTTACTATCGCGTCTTAGAAAATGGTTCTTATAAAACTACTTTGTTAATCGCCAAATCGAAGGTGGCTCCAATAAAAGCACAGTCTTTACCTCGTCTCGAACTATGCGCGTGCGTATTACTTAGTAGAACTTGGTCAAAAATAAAACTAAAAATCGGAAAATTTGTATCTTCTATATTCTTTTGGACGGATTCTAAAATTGTTTTGCAATGGCTCAAGATACATTCATCAACCCTTAATTGTTTTGTAGCAAATCGTGTCTCAGAGTTACAAGAACAAGCTCAAGACGTTATATGGCGGCATGTGCCATCAAAAAGTAATCCAGCCGATATTGTGTCTCGTGGTTGTAGCGTTACAGACTTGCCTAGTACAATTTGGTTTAATGGTCCCAAATTTATTTTCGAAGATGTTAGTAACTGGCCCGCAAATATAACTGATGAATCCGAAGAAATTTTGGAAAGAAGAAAAACGGTTCTTAAATGCACTACAAATAATATCACCGAGTCCGTCATAGATAAAATTATAGATAAGCATTCGTCATACTATAAAATTCTTCGGATACTTACATACATTTTTCGAATTTGTAATAGGTGCAAGGTAGACCCTTTGTTGAAAGCCAATAACATCATTCATCTCCCACCCCAGGAGTTCGAGAACACATTTTGGAAATTAGTAGCACATATACAAAGTAAAAACTTCGTCGTGGAGTTAAACGCCATTTTAAACAATAATTTGGTACAACCGTCCTTGCAAAAACTGGCTCCATTTGTACATCAAATGGAAACTGACAACAAAACTATTAATTTGATTCGAGTGGGTGGAAGATTATCGAAAGCTCCAATCCCATATGATGCTCGATTTCCCGCTTTATTGCCGAAAAATCATCGCTTTGTAAAGCTATACATTGAGCATTTACATCGCCTTCACTTACATGCTGGTCCCAAAGTATTGCTTGGAATACTTCGTCAAAAAATATGGATAATTAACGCCAGAGAAGTAGTTCGAAAAGTGTTTCGCAATTGTGTCCATTGCTTCCACTACAAACCAAAGTTGATTGGACAAATAATGGGCAACTTACCAGTTGATCGCCTAAGAGCTCAACGACCATTTTTGGTCAGTGGAGTCGATTTTTGTGGCCCATTCTTAACTTCGTATCGTATTCGTGGAAAGGTACCTTATAAAACTTACGTCGCAGTTTTTGTGTGCTTTAGCTCAAAGGCAACTCACTTGGAGCTCGTTTCCGATTTGTCCACAAACAATTTTATACTTTGTTTAAATCGCTTTGTTAGTCGACGTGGCCTACCGCAACGCATTTTTTTGCGATAACGCGACAAATTTTACATGTGCCCACAATAAACTCAAAGAGTTAAAAGATAAATTGCTCTCTAATAAAATCGTATCAGAAATCAAGACGCATTGTACTCAAAATGGCTTCGAATTTTGTTTCATCCCTCCTCGTGCCCCACATTTTGGTGGATTGTGGGAGGCCGCTGTTAAATCTGCAAAAACCCTATTAGTAAAAAATCTTGCTCAAGCTCGCCTTACATTTGAAGAACTACAAACTTTAATTGTCGAAATAGAAGCTATATTGAACTCTCGTCCTATAGCTCCAATGTCAGATGACCCTAATGATGGAGAGGCACTTACTCCCGGTCATCTGCTGATTGGTTCATCGTTGATGTCCATACCTCAGGAAATTTTTGATTCTTCAAAGTTATCCGCATTAAATCGATGGCAACAAATTTCGTATCTCAAAAATCAATTTTGGCAACTGTGGTCCCGAGATTATCTTTTATCGCTACAACAACGTTCGAAACACAACCAAATATCAAGATTGGACAACTAGTCATTATCCATGAAGATAATACTCCACCACAGAATTGGCTCCTTGCAAGAGTCACAAAAACAATTTTTGGTACTGATGGACATGTACGAGTAGTCGAATTAAAATCTGCTAATGGTTTTTGTCGGCGACTTATACACAAGGTGGCCCATTTACCCAATTTATAGTATCTTGAAACGCAGACCTTTCAACGGGGGGAGAATGTTGGAGGAGATCATATTTTTTGTCACCGACTGTTTAATTACTTGTTTGTTTTTTCGTTCGTACTTTCCAATACCCTTAATGTTGTTGTTATTAATACTGCGTCTGTTAATGAGTGTATTATTGTTAGTGCAAATTTTTGTCATTCTTCTTTCTGTCGTGTACGTACATGCATTTGTTATTTATTTAAATATAAGTAAGTATAATGTGTGTACCAACAATAGTTGAATATTTTTGTTTTTGGATAACGGACCACTTGATATTTATAATTTGTAAATTCTTTGTGGTCCATAAACATTATTTTTTAATTTTAAAGACAGTAGTAATCGAACCTGCACATGAGCAACATCATATGTACGGCAAATCTCTCGCGCATTATTAAAATATTTATTTTTGTAATAGGTATTTTTTTTATATTGCGACAATGTATTTTTTCGAACAAGATTTGCTTATGCAACACTGCTTTGTGTCTCGGATAAACAAATACAACTTTTGGATACCACTCAAAGTGAATGTTTTTATCGAAAAAATTACATTTAATTTCGAAATAAAAATATTTTGGCACGTTATTTTTTAAAATAAAATACAATGCCAAAAACGAAAAAAGATATAAAAAAGAAGAAAATATGGTCTTTAAAAGAAGAGTCGCTACTGTGCGAAATATGGGCAGCAAAAATTGATATGTTGAGAGGCGCTAGGAAAAATTCCCATATTTTTGAGGAGATGCGTCTAGAACTGGTGTCATTAGGAGGAATACAAGTCACACCGGAAGAAATTAAAACCAAAATTCATAATTTAACAAATAGATACAGGTTTGTTTCATACAAATTTTAAATTTGTACACTCTACACCGCAATACACGCCGTAAATTCATATCTCTATCAGTGATACTTTAAACTAGACTATGGACCAGACTATAGACCAGACTATAAACTAGACTATAAACTAGACTATAGACTAGACTATAGACTAGACTATAGACTAGACTACAGACTAGACTATAGACTTGACTATAGACTAGACTATAGACTAGACTATAGACTAAACTATAGACTAGACTATAGACTAGACTATAGACTAGACTATAGACTAGACTATAGACTAGACTATAGACTAGACTATAGACTAGACTATAGACTAGACTATAGACTAGACTATAGACTAGACTATAGACTAGACTATAGACTAGACTATAGACTAGACTATAGACTAGACTATAGACTAGACTATAGACTAGACTACAGACTAGACTATAGACTAGACTATAGACTAGACTATAGACTAGACTATAGACTAGACTATAGACTAGGCTATAGACTAGACTATAGACTAGACTATAGACTAGACTATAGACTAGACTATAGACTAGACTCTAGACTAGACCATAGACTTGACTTTAGACTAGACTATAGACTAGACCATAGACTTGACTATAGACTAGACTATAGACTAGACCATAGACTAGACTATAGACTAGACTATAGACTAGACTATAGACTAGACTATAGACTAGACTATAGACTAGACTATAGACTAGACTATAGACTAGACTATAGACTAGACTTTAGACTAGACTATAGACTAGACTATAGACTAGACTATAGACTAGACCATAGACTAGACTATAGACTAGACTATAGACTAGACTATAGACTAGACTATAGACTAGACTATAGACTAGACTATAGACTAGACTATAGACTAGACTATAGACTAGACTATAGACTAGACTATAGACTAGACTATAGACTAGACTATAGACTAGACTATAGACTAGACTATAGACTAGACTATAGACTAGACTATAGACTAGACTAGACTACACACTAGACTATAGACTATACTATAGACTAGCCTATAGACTGAACTATAGACTATAAACTAGACTATAGACTAGACTGTAAACTAGACTATAGACACATTATTTAATAGGCTACACTATTTGTATGAAATACTGTATATCGGTGAAAAGTAACGGTATGACTTGATAGACTATACTTTTGTATTTATTAAATACTTAACAGAAAGGAAAATAATGCTGTAGGTCCATCCGGTGGTTCCCCGTCGACTTGGAAGTTTTATAATATGATTAGCAAACCCTAATAAAGTTGGACGATCCTCATTATAGTTTTTATATAGAAGCATCCTCCAAAAATTTATTTAAATATACTCATATTATTAGGGTATCATATGGTCGGGCTTGCTGAATCTATTCTGTCATATTTATTAATTTATTAATGAATTACCATGTTTATATATGTATTTATATTTTCAGATAGCTCAAGAAGTTTTGAAGGAATGGAATCTGAGGAGTACACCAATTTTGAAATATTAACTGAAGAATTCGCCTCAGGTGTTAGCTCTGACTATTCACCACCATTGATGTCTTCATCTTCTTATAATGATTCACCCTTAACATCTGAGACTGTTCGTAGTGCTGTAAAAAAAGACGTCCAGAAGATATGTTAAATAAAATTTTTAAGAAAATTGAGGATTTAGAAAAAGAAGAAGAGGAAGAAAAAGCAAATCAAAAAATATGGGAAGAAAAAATGTACAATTTGGAGGTTCAAAAAACAAATATGTTAGAAAAGTTAACTAATGATAATGAAGAATTAAAAAATATTATAATAAATTACTTATCAAATAAAAAATAAATTGTTTTTAAAAATAATAAAAAAATTCTCTGAATCCGTGATATTTTTATGATAGGAAATTTCTCTGAATTTAAAACGTATATAGAACTGGACAGTCAGCCAGCCGGACAGACGGACGGTCATGGATTAATCGACTCAGAAAGTGATTCTGAGTCGATCGGTATACTTTAAGGTGGGTAGGACCAATATTTTTGTGCGTTACAAACATCAGCACAAACGTATAATACCCTCACCACTATGGTGGTGTAGGGTATAATAAGGAAAATAAACCAACGTTTTCAAAAAGGTAAAACATAATAATACTTACCATATAAACTGAGTGCATGACGTATTTGTTCTGCATCGTTTATGGTATCATCCAGTACCGTTTGATTTTGCAGATTTTTACGAAGTTTATCATATTGTTCTAAGTCTTTTAGCCATTTATTGTTGACATTGTCGTTATTTTCATTTAAAAAATTATGGAGAAGACAACATGTTTTAATGATCAGGTTGACATTTTGTATTTTATTGTCAATTCCTTTTCCTACTCGACGGAATCGAGCTTTTAAGTGACCAAAGGCATTTTCTACCACTCTTCGATGTTTTGAAAGAAGGTAATTAAATTTTTTTCTTCGAGAATCATTATTGGCATTAAAAGGGTATGGCTTCATTAGATTCTTAGAGAATCTAAAAGCTGAATCTCCAATAATATAAATTGGAATTTTAGTTCCACATATATCTTTGGAATACTGATCCAAAATGTCACTCTCTGAAATATGTTTTTTAAGTAATGATCTTTCATAAATTTGGGAGTCATTACATCTTCCTGGACTTCCTACATTTATGTAGAGAAATCGATATCTGAAAACATGCAAATTTTAAATTTGTTGAGATTTTAAATAATTTTCCTTGAAATGGTTACACCACCTATAGTCTACTAGAGCTAGTAAAACTGTTGAATACCATCCCTTGTAATCATAATAGTCCACAGCATCTTCAGAAGCTGGATGAACTTCAATGTGGCAGCCATCTGGGAAAAAAAAACTTTGTTATATTGTAAATTATAGTATACATTAGTTCGTTTGATACCAATTGCTCCTAAACATTGAGGTAGTCCCGTTATATCAAATCCGTTTACACAGTCCTCTATAGTTTCACGTGATAATGGAAAATAATTAAGATATTGCGGTTTTAATTGTTTATAAGTTTCTTGGCAAAACTCTATAACTATTTTCGAAACCATTGATTTTGAAATACCGAACAAATTTCCAATGCTTCTGTACTCGGCAGAAGAGCCTAAAGCATACAAAGCAACTGCCACTCTTTTTTTAAATGGTATTGCTTTTCTGAAGTTTGTGTCCTTCTTTTTCATATTTCCTGAATATGTGCAAAGGTTGTCAAATGTTTGCCGCGACATACGGAAGTTATTCTTGAAGGTTAGGTTAGGTTAGGTTGATAGGAGGATGTATACTACATCAAATCCGAAGAAATACACCTAGGCCACTATCGGGCCTGTTGTGCGCTCCAATTCAAGAAAAAAAAAAAAAAAAAAAAAAAAAAAAAAAAAAAAAAAAAATTGTTTACTGAATGTTCAGAAACTCAGTTTCCTGGACGTAATTCCTAAGAATCTTCCAATCGGTGTTGGTTAAGAATGTTATTTCCGGAATAACATCACTTCCAAGATACTTGGATCTAACTTCGACGAATGCCTGACAATGGCAAAGAAAGTGCTCCAGAGTTTCACTGTCCTCTCCACATGCTCTACATTCGTCTGAATTCGCACGTCCAATTTTGTATAGATGTGCTCGTAATCCTGTGTGTCCACTGAGAATACGTACCATCATACTAACCTCAGACTTGCTCATTTTGAGAAGATTTCTCGTCTTGCTCTCATCAGGGTCACCCCATAGAATCTTTGTGGTTCTACCCACCGTTTCATTATTCCAAGAGGCCTTATGGGATTCTCTCATCCATATTTTTAATTCAGCTTTTGTTGCGTCGAATGGTTTTGCGTTTGTCAGGTTAACTACATCGAGCTCCCTTCCCTTTAAAGCTATTACATTCGCCCTTTCGTTGCCGATTACTCCCGAGTGGCCTGGTACCCATATGATGTGAACCTTACCTCTGGGAGAGTATTCAGTTAAAGCTTTCTTACAATCCAATACGGTCTTAGATTTAATTCTATCACCTGATATCGCACAAATTGCCTTCTGGCTGTCGGTAAATATATTAAGCCCTGTGGGCGCCATATTTATTCTAATCCAATTTACACATTCCGTTATTGCTCGTACTTCTGCCTGGAAGCTTGTGTTATGATTAGGTAAACGGTGGTATATTTCTGTTTCTGGGTCTTCAATATAGAACCCCAGACCCACTTTGTCCCCTAATTTAGAGCCATCCGTGTAGCAACGGATTCCTACTGGTATTTGCTCTAATGTTCCGCTTGACCAAGACATTCTATCTGGGATTAGCGTTTCAAAGTTTCCGACATATTCAGTGTCTGGTATGCGATCAGGCACGTCCGATGAATGTGTATAACCTTCCAATGTGTCCAGTATACATTGATGACGTGTCCTATAACCGTTTTTGGCCAGTTCACCTAAAGTAAAGAGCCGTTCGGCTGTAAGCGCCGCCTCATATCTTATATATGTTTCAATGGGTGGAATATCTAGCAACGTTTCCAGAGCCTTGGTTGAAGTAGTACACATGGCACCACTTATACCCAAGCAGCATGTACGCTGAACTCCCTGTAGTAGTTTGATATTACACTTTTTGTCCAAAGCAGTCCACCAGATTATTGAAGCATAAGCTAGAATTGGTCTAATTACACTTTTATAAAGCCAATTTGTCATAGTAGGACTAAGACCCCATTTCATGCCTATGGTTCTCCTACATATCGCCCAGCACCGATGTGCCTTGTTGATCCTATCCTCTATGTGGTGTCTCCATTTTAATTTCCGGTCAAGTATTACACCTAAATACTTAACTTTGTCTGTCACCGGTATCTTCTTGCCCAAGAAGCAAGGTTCAGTATATGTAGAAATTTTTGTCTTTCTTGTGAAAAGACAGATTTCCGTCTTCGCCGGGTTAACATTGAGGCCTCTCGGTTGAGCCCAGCTCAAGGCCGTATTCAGAGCCTCCTCAGCTCTTCTACACAAGTAATTTGGATCCTTTCCCTTTAAAAGTATTACGACATCGTCTGCATAGCAGACAGGTCTAAGTCCTTTCTCGGTTAGGGTCCTTAGGAGGCTATTAATCGTGGTGACCCAGAGTAAAGGTGACAAAATGCCACCCTGTGGTATACCGCGAAATACCTTTTTCCTGATAGTTATATCGTACATCTCGCAGCTTATCCATCTGTTCCTTAGCATGTAGTTGATCCAGTTACGGAGCACCCGGTCAACATAAAACTGGTCTAGGGATTGGATAAGGGTATCAGTGTGCACGTTATTGAAAGCGCCTTCGATGTCAATGCATACTGCCAGTGTATACAGTTTGCTATCGAAAGATTCACCTATGTAGTGGACAACTTCATTTAAAGCGGTTTCCACCGATCGTCCCTTTACATAAGCATGCTGCTTATATTTAAGGTCATTGTATGGTATGCTGCTTTTAACCATGCTATCGACTATCCGTTCCAAGGTTTTAAGTAGGAAGGACGTAAGACTTATTGGTCGATAGGACTTAGGTGTCGCATAGCTAGGTTTCCCTGGTTTGGGTATAAATATTACCCTTGCATCCTGCCATTTAACTGGGGTATATGCCAATTTTAAGCATGCCGTGAATATCTGTGACAGATGTACGGAAACCAGTCCCGCCTCCATCTGCAAAAGTGCCGGGAAAATTCCATCCGGCCCTGCAGCTTTATAGGGAGCAAAGCTCTTGATTGCCCCTTTCACCATGTCAGTTGTAATTACTATTTCCGTGTTACCCTCCCCTTCCTCCAATATCGGTTCATCTATGTTATTCGATATACCGGGTGGGAAATGAGAATCCATTAGGAGTTTCATTGTCTCCTCCATATCCTCAAGCCTCCTGCCCGTGTCATCGATCATAGATTCCGGTTGGACATGAGTTTTGGATAGGAATTTTTTTATCTTCGATACGTCATTTACGCTATCTACCTGTTCACAGAAAAGTTTCCAGGAGTCTCGTTTGGCTTTTCGAACGATTTTCTTATATTCACCAAGTTTATTACGATACTCATCCCAGTATACTGCGGTCTTTTTACGCCGTGCCCGATTAAATAGTTTGCGAAGAGTCTTCCCAAGGTTCCGGATCTCCCCAGTTACCCAGGGTTTTTCCTGGGCAGATCTCCGCTCTCGCAGAGGGCAGCTGTCCTCGAACGATTCAACCAGGGCACTTGTGAACGTTTCCACTTTGGCATCTATATCCTCTTTATTTCGACATTGAAAAGTGTCCTGACCTAAACGGTTCTTTAGTAAGGTCCCGAACATTGTCCAATTAGTTTTAGACTTATTCCGAAACTTTATCGGCTTTGGTGGTGGCCTTAGTATTTTGAATCTTATGTACCGATGATCAGAAAAGGAGTGCTCGTCCGAAACTCTCCAATCCTGAATTTCGTTTATAAGCTCTTCTGAACATATAGTTATATCTAATACTTCTTCTCTGATTCTATTGACGAAGGTAGCTTTATTACCTAAGTTCAATGTTATCAAGTCTTTAGTATTAAAGAAATCCATGAGGGCTTGTCCCCTGCGATTGGTGTTTGTACTACCCCAAGCTACATGATGCGAGTTGGCATCACAACCTATTACAATTTTCTTATTTTTCCTTTGTGCCTCTTCAACCAGTTTCATCAGATCCGACGTTGGTGGTAGTGTCGGAGAATCGAAAGGCAGGTAAATAGATGCAAGGAATATGTTGCCACGACCTTGCTTCAGCACCGTTGCATCCGATGTTGATAATCCTGTTGAGAGGAGAAAACATAAGTTCTTGTGACATAAGATACATGTTCTCGGGCGAGATCCTGTATCAGCATAGAAAAGTTGGAAATTTACGTGATTTAATCCAGAAACCTTGTTGCGAATCGTCCAAGGTTCCTGGATTAAAGCTATATGTATTTTACCTGTGTTGATTTTAGCCATCAGAGCGTTGGTAGCTGTCTCGCTCCGATGGAGGTTTATTTGGATAACCTCAATCATGGTCATCCATTCAACTGTCTTCCAGCGAGTTGGTGGTCACCTCCTCGCTCTTTGGATTTGACTCCTCCGGATAGCCTGAAGTGGCTATTAATGCAGTGAGTACTGTTGATGGCACTGAGGTGTCCTTATCAGGCATAGGAATAGCAATATTTTTAATAGACACATTCCCAATTCTGGAGAGCATTGCTGTTCTGTCTTCTGGCGGGTGAGTGATTTCCTCCTCGCTTTTAGGATTTGACTCCTCAACATTGCTAGTACTTGCTAATGATGCTTTGGGTACTGTCTTAGGTGTTTTAGTGTCCTTGTCGGGGCCGGTTTTGACAGCCCTTTCAATCGGCGCCTTCCCAATTTTGGAAAGGGCAACTACACTTTCTTCTGGCGAGTTAATGGTAAATTCCTCGATTTTAGGATTTGACTCCTCAACGTTATCAGTAGTGGATACTGATGCTGTGGTCTTAGGTTTTTTAGTATCCTTTTCGAGGCTTGTTGTAACAGCCCTTCCAATCGGCACCTTCCCAATTTTGAATATGACAGATTTAGAGGCGAAGTAAGCTCTACCTTTATTCTTGGCAAGACTAGCCATGGATTTCTGGTCGATACCTATTACAAATAAAGTTCCCTCAGGTTCTTCTTTCCTGTAAAAGACATCCCATTTTTCCACGGCCAGCTCAGCATTTTGACCTCCAAGAATTTCCAGTATACGTTCATTAGCCAGTTTACTGCCCCATCCTTTTATGTAGACAGTGGACTTTAGGAGCACCGGAAGCTCGCTCTTCTTTGCCAGTCCCAGCCTAGCGCCGTCCCAGGGAGGAGGGATACTTTCCACCAAGTTCTTTAGGGTGCTAACACATTGGTGAGATGCCAA